GATAAATGACCCAGTGTGATCACTGGATTATTTCTTTCTTTCTGCAGACAAAGTTCTGGTTCACTGTGCCATGGGTCGCAGCCGGTCAGCCACGCTGGTCTTGGCTTACCTGATGATTTACAAGAACATGACAGTAGTGGATGCCATTGAGCAAGTATCAAGACACCGATGCATCTTGCCAAACCGGGGCTTCCTGAAGCAGCTGAGAGAACTGGACATAGCACTGGCACTGCAGAGGAGGAACACCAAAAACAGCCTACCATCTGATGATGACAAGAACAGCAGCATGATCTAGTGTTGTTCCTGGCAGGGTTGTGCTACTGGAAAAAAACAACTCCAAAAAAGGATGGGAGGGGAAGGTGTAGTTAACTACACAGTCACAAGAATCATTTGTTATTTGGAAAGAAAAACAAAGTAATTTCAAATGCCGTCAAGATAAGAAAGAAAGGCAAATTTAAACTCTTCTTAGAATGTTCCAGCTCTAGCAGAATTCTTTGTTACATTAACAAATACACTTCACCCTCTGCAAAATAGCTTTTATGGCTTAAAAGGAGGCCCAAGTTAAAACCCTCTTCTAGCTGAGTACCCTCAAAATCCTGATCCTAAACCAAGCATATGGCCTTTAAACAAGGTAGACATTCTTGAAGAAATTTTGCAGGGAAAACACAAAAATGACAGCAACACAGATGAACTGTTTAGTCCTAGAGTCCTGAAAGATTTTGCAGCAGTCTGCCTTTTTGTGCTATTCTCTGGCATCTCCATTTCTTCTTTCACAGTTACAATCTAGGGGAGCACAGCTTTTAAAGAGTCTCCAGATGAGGATCAACTAGCCAGTCTCCTCAATGGACTTTGCAACAGACCCCGCAAACTAGAAACAAAGCAAGACCCTCAAGACCAGATGCATAAGCAGCTATAACAGATAACAATTCAAGGAAATACACATATGTGTTATTTCAGCAGTTTCAGTTTTGTTTTTCCTAAATGTTTCAACCACCTGCAATTTAAAAGGTCATATAGGTACAGTATCCAAGTCAACTTACTGGTCCACAAAAAAAAAATAATTAAGAAAATGTGTGATTTGTCTTCCTGCACTTGGAATAATCTAGTGGCTAGAAAAATAAACGAGAAAAATAAGATGTTCTTTACATTGCTATGGGGAAGTTCAACACTGAACTTGTACAATCCTAATAAGCCCCTAAATAATAATGAATTATAACCAGTTCTAATGAGATTTTAGTTTTAACTAAAAAGGCAAGAGACATAGGTGAAGCCTTTAAAAAAATCTCAGTGATGTGAGAGAGAAAAGCTGTTACTGTGCTTCCAGACACCACTGTTTATATTTACCACTACCAAATCTTTCCTCTTATCTCAGCTTCAGTCACCTTAATACATCACTGTTCTTCAGTACAGTTGCTACTAATTGTATTTGTTGACAGAAGTATCTCAAACACACAAATAGGGACACCAGACCTATTTTTCCACCTAAAGCCATTCAATTTACTCTATCTGATACAAGGTACCAGTAATTGTTTCAATACAATGAGAGTTTTGCCACCTCAGCAGTATTCAATATTCTTAAAATACACTTTAGAGGAGCACTGTAATTAAGCCATGCTTACTTTTTCTGCATCTGCAAAAAAGTCAAGTCATCACTCTCCCCACTGGAATTCTGCCTAACGCAATGCATCAGGTAAGAGCTACTTAATGCCTCAGTGCTGAGAAGAACGACTAGCTACTCAGACCACAGGCGAGTCCTCTCAGGCTTTACCAGCCGACAAAGGCTTTGTAACTTTAGTGCAGCATGGACTGTCTTGGATGCTTTAAAAAAAAACCAAAACAAAAAACCCCAAAAAAACACAGGGCAGAAATGTTCCACTGAGCATTGCAAGTATATGGTAGGGCGAGGGGTAATGGGTTTAAACTGGAACACAAGAGGTTCCACCTAAATTTGAGAAGAAACTTCTTCTTAGTAAGGGTAACAGAGCACTGGCACAGGCTGCCCAGGGAGGTGGTGGAGTCTCCTTCTCTGGAGACATTCAAAACCCGCCTGGATGCCTTCCTGTGTAACATCGTCTAGGTGTTCCTGCTCCGGCGGCGGGATTGGACTAGATGATCTTTCGAGGTCCCTTCCAGTCCCTAACATTCTGTGATTCTGTGTGATTCTATATGCTATAAAGCAAACAGAGTTGAGCACAACTTTAAATCACTTTTTGTAGATGTTAACAGGTCTTTACACGCTTTGCATCTCTGGTGTGAAAGCTTTCCTATTCCTTTGCTTCCTTCTGGGGCCCAAAAATCAGTAAATCATTAATCTCCAAACAGTAAGTGTGGCTAATGTTGCAGGCACCCATAATGCAATGCTTTTGACTATTTGTATTTATCTGTAAAATAAATATCTTACCTTCAAATTCTGAGACACAGCAGAACATAACAAAATTAGACTACTGTTAAAAACTAAATTAGACACCACAATGTAAACAATATTCATGATAGAGATACAGACTCTGAGACTTACCGAAAATTAATTATCCCTGCACACCTTGATTAGAGTTAAAAACCCCAACCAAACAAAAACATAAAACAGAAAAAAAAAAAACAAATAAAGGGAAACTCGAAATAATCTGACACTTCAAAAATAAATGCGCAGTCACAATGTGGCTTTAAAGAGTAATAAAGCTCCCAAAAACCAAAACACACCACAGATCTTCAAATGCATCTTCTCAGAGCACCTCACTGTCTACTGCAATTTAATTCACAACACAGATATGCCTGTCAGACTCCCAGCCCTGCTCTCTCCATTTACCTTGATGGGGAAAGCTGAACTTACCTCTGTGGCAGCACTAACTTTACAGGCAGGAATTCTGTACCAAATGACACAGTAAAACACAACAAGTATCTACCAGGATTTCCTTCAGTCAAGTTACAGATCATTTTCTCTCGTGTATCCTGCGTGACAGTTTGATGACTGCTGTAACTGTAATAGGACTGGCAGCTGACTTACACACAGAATTGTATTCTAATGAGGTTTTCTGTGGTCTGGAGATGGGTATTCCTTTTCCAGTCTGAGACCTGTGCAAATACACAGGAAAAATACTTTCCTAAGGCCCAGCTGCTTTTGGTGGAGACTGACAGAGCTTTCAAACAGCAGCCTCTTAACTACTGATAGAAAGCAAAATACTAGAACTCCTAAGTAGTTCCCACCCATTTTTCCCCTGCATAGGAGATTAGGAAATTGGCACATGGCAACACTGACATAGCCACAGAAAAATGTAGCCATAATTTCCAAAGGACACTACTCAGAAACCAGGAGTTGCTATTCTTGCAAGGAGATTAAAAACAGCACAAAACTCAGGAAGTAAATCAGTAGAACCCTGTATTCCCATGTTTTACACATACTACTTGAAGGCTTTAAACACAGCTTAATTAAGTTTAGTTATTCTTATTTAGTAGATGGGGAAAAATCTACAAAGAATTTAAATTACTCAACTAAAGTTATGATAAAGCCCAAACTATAATCCTACCCTATATCTTCTTATAAACTCCCTCCCTAGTCCAAAAAGCTCAAAATAACAACTTTTAATCAATGCATACCCCAGAGCTTTGCTACGGAAGAGCTACATAGTCATACAGGTCATAAACAATGCTAGAAAAAAAGAGTTTTAATACAGAGAAGTATTAAAAATAAGGAAGGGGGAAGAAAAGCACAGTTACAGGTATTTTCTACGTTGGTCAGTTTGCTTGCTGCTAAAGGTCTCTTGTTTACTTCCCAGTTTTTTCTCCTACCATTCTCCCAGAATCAATTAGACTAAATGAGAAAAAAAAACAACTTCTGGAACATGTAGCTTCCACAAAGCAGGAAGCTGCTAACTAACAAGCGTTAGCAGCATCACCTTCACCTACAAGCGATGTCTGCAAGCAACGTACATGCAGAGTGAGGCAAGTTTATTTCCTTATTGCAAATTCCTCATGGTGTGAAGTATTGTCTCTCTCACACCAAAGACTAAGACTGCCTGGACAGGGAAATCTGCATTTCACAAAAATCAGCCACTGTAAGTCTGCGAAGAATTGTTTGAAGACACTAACGAAAGAGCTAATTCTCAGCTGGGATGGTGCTAAAGCACAGAGTCAAAAACTGACTGTAATGGGCACACAATACATAAAATGGGTAGATCAGTCAAGGAAAAGATAGCTTTCTTATAAAATAGAAATTTTAGTGCAGTCATGCAATTCCCAGCTATATAGTCACTACAGAAATAGATGTAGGAAAGCCATTTGTCCTCCTAAAAGAAATTCAGTTCTGAAATAAAAAAATATTGGAAACTTGCCTGTTGTGCACATAGAGTACATCATTTTTCACCCAACTTTTAATCCGTATATAGCAAATACAGAATTTTAGCAATATGCTGGAGTCTGGATGGTCTGTTTCTGGTTAGCATATACTGAAATGGTATGAAGGTCTGATTCGCCTACACATTACAGGCTTCAAAACCTGAAACTAAACAGCAGTGGATGAAGACCCAGGTTCCTTTTTCACTCACTGCAAAACACACAAATGAAAAACCAACAGAATGCAGTGCTACTTTAAAAGGAAACTATTCAAGAAGTATACAAGGTCCTAGTTACACACACTCAAAGGCAGAACATTAACTCTGTTGAGTTCAATTCTCATGTTCCTGAGTATAAGGAAAAGAAAAATAAAAAAGGTGACTGACTTGGTGAAGATGAACACACACACAGTTTAAGTGCTCTGAATACTCTGTGCCTTCAAAAAGCAAATCTGACAGTGTAAGCGTACGAACAGAGATCTTTGTTGTATTGTGCTCTCCTTACGAAGCATTCGGAACACCTAAAGTTACTCCAAATGACTCTTTCACCAGCAACTTTAGCTCCCATTCAGACCCACTATTTTAGACTGTTGCCCCATCATATAAAAATTGAAGCGGTTATGCGCACGGATCTCTGGTATCAATTTCTTAATCTGGCAACACCAACCACTTTAAGCGTTTTATTTAAAGAAATACACATTTCTCTGACTTTTGAGCATGTAAAATTGTCACGTATAGAGCTGTTTTATATACTAGAATGGGGACATAGAGTTTTCAATCAAGATGACCAACCCTTTAATCTTATCTAGTGACCTTCCTGCAGTGCCAGAGGGCTAGAGCGGGGGTTCAGTGCAACATTCACATGAGAAGCATTTTGAAAAATTCTTACAAGGATTTTCTTCTGAATATTCACACACACACAATTTAAACTTGGTCCACTCATGTGCTCCACATATAGACAGCCTTCTTGAGTTTTACAGATCTTCTATTGCTAGATTAGAAGTGTTCATATATGTGCTTGTGTGTGCACATATACATGCATATACGCAGACCTCAGAGGTTCAACACAAGA